TAGAAAAACGAATATAATCTTTTTCTCTCTTTCGATATTCATTCGCTACGTAACCTATAATTTAAAAGTGAGATATTCAATCCATTATTTCGCTATATTGATTCATAAAATAACGCGTACATTGTATCGTGTTATCAGAAATTCCATAAAGGATTGAAAAAAGTTTTCTCTCTTATTAAACTCTTTTAAATCATAATCATTTTTATTGTTATATCGTTATAACGTGTTACATTGATTTATTTAAAAGATTATTTTTAAGAAAATGTTATTAATATCTCATTAATATATTTATTAACTTGATTATTTTCTTGCTATATCTTAGTTATATTGCCGAATAAACATAGATTAATAACTAATTTTCAAATTTATATAATTTTCAAATAATATTGCATTGATTTTTTTTATTAATTTTTTAATCTTTTTTACTTGTATCATTTTAGGTTTAATAAAATTTTCGCAATTATTCATATGATTATAAATAATTTCATGCATTCTATATTTTCGTTTTTTTACAATGCGTAATATTTTAAAATAAAATTTCTTCTTTTTTTATATTTAAATTACATTATTCATATCGTGTATTTAATGAAATTTAATTGTATGAATAGCTATTTATTATGCATGATATATTTTTACTACTTTTCGGATATTTGTTAATTAATACTTTAACAACAGATAGTAATTTTTTAGAAATATTATACGCATACAATATTTATTTGTTAAAATTAATCATTATATGAATATTTTATGTATCGTAACGTTTCAAAACGTAGTTTTTTAATTATTTTAAATTTATAAGAGAAACTTATTTCTCGACAAGACGATAAACATTCATTTTGCAAGATTTTCATATTCATCGCTAACTAAAATTATTACATCTCATCTACTTTGCTTCTTTATTTAAACAATTAATAAACAAAGCATGTTGTGTTATTTATTGCCAAATACTTTCGCTATAATCACGCGAAAATCACGAGAAAGCTAATTTTAAAAGTTACGAAAGAAAGTCACGATGCAATTTTCGATCTTCGATCCTTAATTTTCACTAGACGTCATCTTTGTGAGATATCGAACGTGAGACAAGAAAGAGGGAGGGGATGGTGCATCGGTAAATTGAAATCTGGAATTCATATCCGAGAGGAGGACGACGAATTTCATTTTCGATGGCACGTGGAAAATTCGTGGAGCCAGCTGAGTGCAGGCAGAGAGAAAAATGTCATCGTCAAGAAAGAGGTTCGTTCGTACTTCTGGTCACGCCATCGAAGTCATTCATGCGCATTATGTCTCTCACTCCCCCTCCCCCTTTTTTTGTTCTTGGATTATCAACTCGTTCCACTACGGTTTTATTCCGCATTTTCTTGCCGCAATTATTCGTGTGATCTCTTTATTGCCTCTTCTCGACGATTATCATATTTATAAAGATAGGAAAGGAGGAAAATTATACGTCCTATTCTTTTATTCTTTGGTTCACCTGTGATATCGATAAATGATATCTTTGCTTGATGTTATATTTATTATGAAAGTTTTTAAAATACCTTGAATTTTTTAAATTTAGTAATGATGATTCAATGACGAACGATGATGTAGTGTTATTCGTGTAGATATGGGATTTTAAAGAAATTATTTATTGCTGATGATTGAGGTTGAATATTCGAAAATAAAAGATGTTATATTTTAATTTTTTTAATTGGTTGTAATTCATATTAAGCATCAATAATTCAAATACTATATTTTATTTCAATTATTGAATTATTTCAATTATACAGATTTAAAACTATTTATCTTCTAATTCTACAATGGAATATATATTTTTAAATGTGTATACTACATGATATTACATTCAAGACGATGGAATAGGTAGATTAATGATATAGAAGAAACTTATGATGTAAAAATTAAGAAATTGATAAACATGATGTGTCGTCTCTTTTTCTTCTTCTCGATTACTTTGTCAGTTCCATTTCATTTTTTTTTTTGTTTCTAAAGTATGATAAATACCTCGAGAAGAATATAATAATACAATCGAAAGTTCCCAAGTTTCGTAATTCTTCAAGCACGAAATCTTGGAACTGTTGTAAAAAAACTCAACACTGGAAAATTTTCGTTCAAAGAGGAGAGAGGAAAAAAGGATTACAAAATAATATATATTTATTATGAAATTTCCGATTATATGCAACTGTTGCACTGCTACGAACGAGAAATTAATAAGAATCGTGCAACAAAAAGGATCAGATTCATGTTGCTTTGATGTCTATCGCAATCACCATGGTGAAATTACTGAAATGGAAATGGCAAATAATTAGAAGGAATATCTTTGGAATTATCGAGTTGTAATTACGAGAACGACTTCAATTAGGCGTTTTTTTTTTTTTTTTTTGACTATCTTTGTCAGTTGACCAATCAAAGATCAGATAATTTGTGATTTAACTATACATGGTGTATCAACTGCAACAGATTGCGATTCTGTTAATAAATTAAAAAGATATTAGAAAAACTTTATACATAATTTAATATTCTTTAACTGCTCTAAAAAGTTTTTAAAAAATGCACAAGTTTAGTTGCAAAATACAATTTCATTTTTTTAAACGTAATTTTATAATTTTTTTGTATAAATTGTCAAAAATTTTTCGTCTCATTTTTTACGTATAATGAAAATTCACTCAATGAAAATTCGATACTTTTCAAGATATTTCAAATCTTATATTTCTTTAGAAGATAAATATGTTCCTTTTTTTTTAATTGTTCAGCTACAATATTTTAATTTATCCAAGATTTTTTTAGAGATTAAAAGTTACGAATAAATTTTATTCTTAAGAAATCGCATAAAAAACGGCGCACTTGTAATGCATGGAGAGGTAAGAAACTATTTCTTATCATATTCTTATCCTATCGTATCGAGAAAAATGATTTGGCACTTACACACCTTGCCCACTTCGTTCGTCCGATTTAGCTTCTCCGATCTTTCTTTTCTTTTTTTATTGCATTTTCTCTTAAAATAAAATTAAAATTCGAACAATCTCCAAGTGGATGAAATAAAATTTTTCACGCATCGATCGATTAAACGATGATAATGAAAGAACAATAGTGGGGGGGGGGGAATGTTTGGAGGGTAAATATTTGTTGTAAATCCTTTTTTAAAGAAATTCGATTAAAATATTATCACGAAAAGTATCGAGTTTTATACAACAAAAAATATCCATTCACGTAAAAATTCATTTAAAAGAAATCCAATACGCTTTATAAAAGAAATTCTAGATATTATCGTCAATGATCAAAGGCTATTCCTTAAACCGTAGTGCAAAAGTTACGTCTTTTTTTCTTTCTTTCCTATCTTTCTCTCTCTCTCTCTTCTAAAATAATATTACTTCAAACAAAGCAATCAACACCCTATTGCAGCCACAATCGCAATTCAATTACACGATCCTATATCTGTAGCCTACACCAACGATTACCTAGCCTCCTATCGACGTCTATATAACTGATACCTCTACCTCCACTCGCTGGATATAATCGTTGCACGCTCCAGTTGCGCAGTAGTCATATTTAGAGGCAAAGTTACACGAATTATGCAATGCGCAGCACTTGGATCGAGGGGTGGGAGAGGGAGGGATTACACGAGAAAGTCATTAAAGAATAACCGTGGCAGTTTTGTTTTACGAAGGTTGGCGCGATGGACGGTTAGTAACTGGTATAATAACCGCTTTTTTCCAAGTTTTCAGGGTGGCGCGAACAAAAAGTTGCGTTTTTAAAATCGTTTCGATCCTCCCTCTAACCTTTCGAACAATATTGGTTGTTACGCGGAACTTTCGCTCGCGGAAGGCTTCCGTGGCTTTTCGTCAGCTTCCGGGCCAACGTCGTTTGCCAAGCGGATAATCCACCGAGAATTGGTATTCCAAACCTCTCTCCGTTCCCTAAGATGAACCGTTCAACGGTATTTCCGATTAATCAGTCGACTCTTCTGAAAGTGGCTACGGTTTAATTGGTGCTATTATCAGATTGTTACGTGTCGAAATATACAGTTTAACTTGGGATTAAATGATCGATACATGGTTTCGAACAGCAGATGGATTAGCAGGAAAGAAAGAAATCATTTACTTGTATTTTCTAAAAGAAATAGAAAGAAATTCGCAAACGATTTAATTTTATTGCGAGTTTAATATTTATCGAGTTTGATAAATTTAATAAACCAGTAGCTACTTAGCTCACCTACGTTTTTAAATCGTATCCCTCTCACGAAATTCCTCTTATTCGATCCCTTGGACCGATCGAGATCCAACGTTTCGAGAAGGTTGGATATAAATCGACTTCTCAATATCAAGACATTTGGTAATAGGCGATCTTTGATGTATCTCTGATTCATATGCCCCAAGGGAATATCTCGTTCCAGAGAGGGATCTCTTTTTGAATTTCTTCGAAATAGAATAATTTTTTTTTTTTTATTATATATATATATTTTTCCAAACCTCGATGAAGACTCCTACGTTTCAAATTGCAAGCATTATCGAGATTATCGCACACGAGTTCGTGTACATTCGCGATAATAAGTTCTCGTTATCAATAGCTACGAATTAAAATAGATATACATATGTACCCGTTTCGCTCGCAAAATTTCACGAAATTATGATCCGCGATATAAACGGATAATACGTACGTATCCTTTCCCTTAAATACATCCTCGAGGATGGGTCTCAAGAGGTTAATATACCTCGGTTATTCCGTGCATAATCTCTCTTCCTTTGATTGTGCGTCCAGTGGAGAATCCGAATCGCGAACAGAGGACACGGTATCTCGAAGAGGGGAGTTCATAACCGGTGAACGAGCACGATTAGAAGATGGTGGAGGCCGAATCTGATATAAGCGTTTATCAACAAGAGAACGAATTAAGAAGCGGTCTGAATGGATGAAGATATTGGTTTCTCGATTTCTGGCTGGATTAGAATGCGAATCTGTGAAAGATCGTGTCAAATTGTTAACGAGGCCACGAGGGCTCGTTTACTTACAAGGTGTCCAGGTTCACGATCTTGTAGTTGGCCAGGTACGTGTGTCGATAGAGCTGCAACAGAAAGAAGAGCAACGGAGAATGTTTATTGGCCGAGTGTGGCGTGGCGTGAGACCGGGGGAGGGGAGGAAATTGGATGCCGCCAAGCTTTTAAGGGTTAAATAAATGTCCCGGGGCTTATCGCGACTCCGCTGTCGTTTACTCGTCGTCGTTTTCCCTTCTCTCTCTCTCTCTCTCTCTCCTCCCCCTTCCCTTTCCGTGGTGGTGAATCACGTTCGAGAGATAGCAAATTGCATCCCGGGGGTGGTCTCTGCAGAGTCGAGTATTAAAGGTGACGGGGAAGGCGCATGATGCGACACTTGTTTTCTTTTTTTTTTTTTTTCAATGTGTGTCTGAGAGAGAGAAATTTAAAAGGATAACAAGAATTCGTTAGAAAAGTGGTAATCGTGCGATACACTGTTGCTTAGGATAATAAAAGGAATAACAATGCGGTTTCATCGTGATTTTTGTGATCAAATGCGTGTATTTTTCCGTGAATTGAAAAAATTAGATTCGTTTTTATTTCGATATCGAGCAACGAATCTTTTTCTACGAAATATTTATTTGAAACCATTCATCGCGGTGCATGCACTGTCTCTCTGGTGTGGCGCCATAACGATAACGCGTTTTATAATACCGGTGCTAATTACGAGACACGACGAGACCGCTACGTAATCATAATTTTCAATTTCGAATGAAAGCTACGAGGATAATTATACTTTGCTCCACGGAGGGATTTTAAAACAAATCTAAATCACGTTTAAAATGTATCATTCGATGACACGGGAATTTTGTATCGTGCGTGGAAAATATCCATATCTTTTCTACGAACGAAAATAGAACGAAATGATAGTAGTAATTCGATCTATTTATTTTTCACTTTATCAAGAATTGATAAGAAATAAGAAGTAGAACAATATTTTTATTCGATGTTTATTTCAACTAAAAAGAAATCCTACTTATATTTTTCTTATGGTTTTGTATTTTCAATCTTTACCTGTAAAAATATATAACGAGAAGAGTATAATATAATGAGAGAAAGTCAATGGCTAGAAGGAATAGGAAATAATAAGTAAAAAATAATAAAATTTATTCAGACATCGAATGGAATGATTCTTCGATATCCAAGAATCACATTAACGTTTATAGGTTGATATTTAAAAAAAAAAAAACACTTCTCCACGTATTTTTATATTCTCTTTGTACAATTTTCAATATTGATTTAAAATTGTTACGTCGAAATAGCAGACTTTCTTCCACGTTGTTCCTCCCCCGAAAAAAATTGGCAATTTCGCCTTTTTCTTCCGAGATCTCGACGATATCTCGCTTATCTCCACCAACATAAGCGGTCGTGTTTTCCTCCCCTCGCGTTTCGTACGAATGCCTTTATCGCGCGCTATAATTCATCTTTCTCGCCGGATATTCAAACGCAACTTTCCTATCGACCTCGAACAACACGATGCAATAATGGCGAGCCCGGTTCTTTCCTCCGCGTGTTCGTTCTCGCGCTTTCGTGACGGGTCCCGTTTAAAAGCCCCCGTTTCCCTGACATCTTATCGTTCGAAAGAAAAACGAAATTCTAATTCGTGACATCTCTTTTCCGATTCGTTAATTATCATTCAGAAACTCGATTAAAAGGGGAGTGAAATTTAACGCCGCGGTAAATTTCGTGCGTAAAATTGAAAATGAAAAGTCGAAATATCGTTTAATGAAACTTCGTTGATAATATCAGCCCTTTCCGATCGTCGAAATTAAAAAGGATGAAAAAAGATCTTTTTAATTGAAACGAGTTTAATGATATTAAAGTGCGAAAGGAAAAATATTTATAATCAAAAAGTTCGCTACCCGAGTTTCAGTTTTTATTGTACGAAGATGGTAATCTTGTGTATCACAGTTCTCTCGCTTACGCGTACCAAACGTATGCCTCCAATCTTTCCTTTCTACGAATTTAAGAGAGAATTTAAAAAAAATTTAAAAACGATCGAACGATCATCGAATGGAATTTTAGATAAACGAATGATTAATGAAATAATATTTTTAAAAAATACACCAGAACCTTCTCCCCCCAATGGCCAAGCAACGAAAGACAAGCGGATTGATATAAATAATCCGAGCATGGAGCTGCGGCGAGATACCATCGAACACATTGCATCGACAGCGCGCAACGATACGAAAGGATTCATGACATCCTCTCTCTCTCTCTCTCCATTAACTCTTTCGAGACAGGATCTCGCGCATCACGAGCCGATAAACCAAAGGCATGAAATCGACTCTCAAAAAAAAAAAAAAAGAAAAACGCGTGTCGCGATTATCGATCTTCGTATTCGGACAATTTTCACTTTTCCTCGTCTGCCGTGTTAACCTTCGCCTCGTTGGATTCGCGCCTTCCCCTTGCGTGACTCGCGTTTAAACCTCCGCGTATTCCCCACGTCATCGTGTGTGTATCATCTTTCCTTTTCATTGCCTCCTCGATGAGATCAGAGTGGATGATAATTAAAGTGGGGATAAATATTTAAGCGACAAATATTTAAATCGTGTTCGTTGCTCGCTCGCGTCTGAACGAATCCAAGTCTTCTTTTTTTTTTTTTTTTGTAGTTTCGATAAATAGAAAAATGATAATCATTGATGGAGATAATGATTTTTATTCAAGCGTTTTTTGTTTTTTTGTGTGTTTGGGATATTTTTATCACGAAGGATGATTAAAGTGGTGATTGAAAAAATAATTTCGTAATTTCGACAGAGAATTTGCCCCACAACTGTTACGTTTTTATATTTTAGTTTGGTTTGAGAGGACCCTCGAGCATTGATCATTAAACTATGCTATTTTATATTGTTATTATACTATGCCACATTTCATCTTCGTTATCGTATTGCTATAAAAGTTATCTCGTATTACTTTGGCGTAAAATAAAGTGAAGTATAAAATTTTTCACAATGCGTAATTACGAGATAATTACTTTAGAAGGAGATCTCTCGAAAAAATCCTTCCACTTTTCTTATCAAATAATTATCGAATTATTAAATATTGCAGACGCATATTCGTAATAAAAAAACTATTCTAATAAAAAATTTATTTTTGGTTTCTTCTCTACACGTTGTATATAATTGAAGAGTCAATTCTAGAGAAACGAATATAAAAGTTGGAGTATTAAGATATTGGTTTATTTGTTAAATTACAAGCAATTCGTGTTAACTTGTATAATCTCAATAATAATGAGTTGTAAACCCAAATTATATGTTAATTTTTATATGGATAAAAGAAGAAAAATAATATTGAACTTTTGCCTCTGTTTCACTCACTCGTTTTTCACTCTTTTCGATTGAACTCGTTCGATCAAGAAATCGGGCGAGAATCGAAACCAACAATTTCTAAAATAGTACGTCTCTCTTGATAACGGACAGGTAATGGATTCGAACATGTTTCCATGGAGGAGAGCACTAGACGTGCTTCGAAAGTGCTCTCAAATTAGGTTTTTTAGAAACAAAGCTCTTTTATAAAAATGTCCATCAGCATTTTCGATTTGGCGGGGAAAAAAATTGCTCGACAACTTCCATCACCCGTCCGTCCAACCATCGAAAAAAGAAATATAACGCGATCATTTAATACTTTTAAAGAGCAATATTAAATAACAATCATTTATTCTATATTGACACAAAGTCACATTTTATCCATTGCATTTAAGTTATCACATCGGTTCACGTTGTTACTATATCTAAATTCGAATGCACGTTAAATTCGTAAAGGAAAGTAGGAGAGCGTTTCGAAAAATAATATGCCTCTCGACAAATCTTCGTTTCTTATTCATTATTACTTTTCACTCTAGAACTCGGTAAATTTCTGTGACGAGAGATTTATAAAAAAAAAGCAAAGTGTTATTTTCCACCGATAATTCGTCACATCGCTCACAAATGCTCCCTCCATTTTTCGGCCTGCCTATATAATCGATATTTGTTCACAGCTGCCGAGACTCGCCAGATTTCGTAATAAAAAGATTGTCACCCGGTCGAAAAATCCACGACACGATTAATTCAACGGCCCCCTACCAGCGGTTAATTAAACGCGTCGCCTCGTGAATGGCGGATCAATTTCCGAAAAGGAAGATTTTCCAGCAATTTGAAAAAATTGATTTATAGATCGAAGATAATAGCGGACGATCGCTTTCTAATTTTCCTTCTTCGAATTGTTCCTCGCCACACAAATCCTCTCTTGAAATCTAATCTCTTGGTCAAACAAAACCATTTATTATAAGTATAAATAATGGAAGTGAAGAAAACAGGTGAAGGATTATTCCTCCTTTGCGAACCGATAATACGATGCAACTAACGAATCTCCACCCCTCGCCGCAATTAATAAAACAACAAATGGTGTTCGTCGAACGCTAGAAGACGAGTATCTCTGTAATTCGTCTACAAAAATTTAAACGGTTTCTTCTTCCCTCTCTCGTTAATTCTTTTCGACGCGAAATGCCACGCATACTCGATCGTGTTCGAATTTCGAGGTGTCGCCGCGACGTCAAATTTGCGGTTCCTGGAACTCCGTGGAATTCCCCCAGTTTTGACATCAACGTCACAGACGAGCATTGCACACCGTGTCACGGTTTCGCTACGGGGCTACTTCGATTTTGTAATTAATCTCTCTCTCTCTCTCCTCCCCCTCCCCCACCGCCAACCAACACAGGAAACTTCAATTTTACCGGGGCAAACTTGCCACCCCTGCGGCTTCGACTTGCACGATTCAATTTAGGAGTCGCATCCTGTCTTGATAAATTGCAAATTCTATTACCCTCGTCCCGAAGCTATTTGTGAATTCTCCAACGTTTGTGATCGAGTGCAATTCGCTCGGATGTGTACACATCCCGTTTACCACTTTCTCTCTCTCTCTCTCCACCCTCGTTTTTTCGGCGGGGAAATTTTGCCGAGGTTCGATTTCGTGGGGGATACGAATAATTCCCTCATCTTTGGGATTAGAAACTTTTTAGTTCTTTAGGGAGTGGTTGTAATTCTTTTTGCATCGC